TTCACACTCAACGGGGACCAGCTGTACAGAAGAGGATTCAGTGCCCCTCTCCTCCGATGTGTAACCAGTGAAGAAGCAGATTACATCATGAGGGAAATCCATGAAGGGATCTGTGGTAACCACACAGCTACTCGATCTCTTGCGAACAAGGTTGTTCGTCAGGGATATTATTGGCCCCGAATCCAGGAAGATACGCATAACTTCGCTAAAAAATGTGACAAGTGCCAGCGGTTCGCGAACATTCCGCGAGCCCCCTCGCACGAACTGACTACAATGTCTAGCCCCTGGCCGTTTTCCATGTGGGGGATCGATCTTATCGGTCCCATGCCAGTGGGAAAGGGAGAGGTCAAGTACGCCGTGGTCGCGGTCGATTATTTCACAAAATGGGTGGAAGCCGAACCTCTGGCCGCGATCACGACCAGAAAGCTTAAAGACTTCGTTTTCAAGAACATAGTGTGTCGCTACGGAATTCCTCACACCCTCATCTCGGACAATGGAAAGCAGTTTGACAACGAGGAGTTCAAACAGTTCTGCGACGAGCTGGGCATCCATAAGAAATTCACTTCAGTCTCCAGACCGCAAGCAAATGGCCAAGTTGAAGCAGTCAACAAGACCATCAAGCACACTCTAAAGGCCAAACTTGGGGCAGCCAAAGGGAATTGGGCTGACGACCTCCCCGAAGTCTTATGGGCATACAGGACAACTCCAAGAACTTCCACCTCAGAGACCCCTTTTTCGCTAGCATATGGCTGCGAAGCGATGATTCCTGTGGAGGTGGGAACCGGTTCACTTCGGAGGGACTTGTACGATGAGGTTGAAAACGAAGCACTTATGAGGGCAAGTTTGGACCTCGTTGAAGAACGTCGCAGCAAGGCTTCGCTAAGGATAGCAGCCTACCAGCAGCGAGCAAAGAGGTTTTTTGATTCAAAGGTCAAGCGAAGAGACTTCCAGGTCGGTGACCTTGTGTTGAAGGAAGTTCTCCTCGGAATCAGGGAACCGAGTGCATGAGTGTTAGGACCTAACTAGGAAGGTCCATATCGGGTCAATAGGGTAATCAGACTGGGGACTTACCATCTTAAAAGGCTAAATGGTTCCAAAATGCCCCGAGCTTGGAATGCCGAGCACCTTCGACCCTACTATCAGTAATCCCGAACTCATTCCTTGTTATAAGTTAGATCGTTTTTGTTAAGTTCCCTGTATTTGTAAAGCATTATCTTGTTCGCTAACGGTTCGAGCTTATCCTGTTTGCTTGTAATACACGAATGACATTGCCTATGTATTTGAACTAACATTGCGAACAAGTACATATGTATGAAAAAGCGAGTTGTAATTAAAAAACAAAATGTATTTCCATTGTATGTACAAGCAAAAATTAAGCCCACTCCCAATGGAGCAAGGCCTATTACACTACGGCTGGTCGGGGGGATCCTTCGAAGCAGAACCCGAACCCTCTGCCTGGTCGGACCCCTTGGCGGCCGCCGCTACTACTGCTTCGTCCTCCTCTGCCAAGAGCCGCAAGGTCTCTTACCAACCTGGTGGGAGGACGGACACGTCCAGACCCGGGTTCATTGGTCGCAGTGTGTAAATGGCCCCGATCGCCCAATCGACGGCCTTTTCCTTCGTTTCCTCCAACTGAACCCGCACTTCCTCAGTCAGCGAAGCGACCTTTTCCTGACTCTCTTGGAGTTCGGCCTCAAGAGCTCGCTTCTCCTGTTCGGAAGCCTCCCTTTCCTGCTCGGCCTTCTCGGCCTATTCGGAGGTCGTTTGAATCACCTGGTCCTTCTCCCCGACCTCCTTGGAGAGCCTGGCGGTCGTCCTTTGCAGCTCCTTCACTTCCTCCATGCGTCGCTCGAGCTCCGCCTTCTGGAAGTCCACGGTTCGCAAGGCGGCATCCTTTTGCATCAGGTACCTGTTCGCCGCATCGAATGCCTCCTTCCTTTCAGCTTTGGCAAACTCCAGGCTTTTCTTAAGCTTTGCGATCTCCTCTTGATGGCTAGACTCCTTTGCGGCCCCCAGCCGGGTCTTCTCCATTGACATCCTCATCGCAAGCAAAGCCTGCGAGCAAGAATGTGATCAGAAATGAACCAGTTTTAAGAGTAGCTCGCTCACCTTGCTTAGATGCAGCTCGCTTACCTTGCTAAGATGCTGGAACGACGTGGTCAGAAGGTCGTCGCCCGTGTCAGCGAACTCGTCATAAGACTCCGATAGTCCACACTCGAGCAGAGAATAGACTATCAGTTACAGATACTCGGGTAGGCCCCCCAGTGAGTCAAGCACTGGTGTATCCTTCGCGATCGCCTCGCCCACAAGTTCCTTACCCAGCCTCCTTGAGTCCTGTCGCGACCTCAAGGGCTCCTCCTTGAATTCAGTCTCAGACTCGTCGGCCTGAACCTGTTTCCTCTTCTTCGACCTCTGAGCTGGAGCCTTCCGCTTTGGACGGGTCGGGGGCACCTGAGCGACATGCTCTGTCCTGGTTGCTCCTTGCACGGGTTAGGGCCGTGAGGGCGTGGCAGTTCGTGTTGGTTGTGCCGGGACGGGACGAGACGAGCAGCTTTGGCCGCCCTCTCACTCCTCGATCAAGGAAAGACGAACGATGCCCGGCGACACTGCCCGGACTCCTTCGGAGGCATAGTTTCTGCACGAACATAAGTGTTAGTAAACAAGACTATTCAGCGACCAAAAAGAAAACCAATGTAACTTACCTTCGAGGGGTTCTAACGACGCGTTGCTATCGATAAAACCGTACTTCCGCAGGTTCGCGGTGGTCACTAGCTTCCTCGCGTCTCGGCTTTCCTCAGGAAGCACTCCAAAGGATACAAGTCTGTCCGGGTCGTCGAGCAAGTCTTGGCTAGTCGTTCTATTAACTGCAAAAGAAACAGGTCGTTATCATAAAGTACACGAACAGACAATATACCTAACGAAGAAGGACCTATTTGGCGCCTAAAAGTGGCAGTAGCCGTCATAGCAGAAAAAGAAGAATTTGGTCTCGTAGGCTCCTGCGTTGCTGGGATAACTATGTATCCCCTCGGCAATGGTAGGTCGCCGGGACAAGTAGTACGAGTCCTTGTCCCTACTCTTTTTGAGATAGTAGGCGACGCCGAGCTCCACCGCCGTTGGCTCACCCAAGCCGCTCTGGCAGCACGCGATGTACATCGCTACGGCGATGACATACGCGTTCGGTGTGAGCTGTATCGGTGCGATCCCGAAGTGATCCAGGACCGACCTGATAAAAGGATGGAAGGGAATCATCCCTCCACCCTTGAAGATCTCTTCGGAGATCGCAGCAAGGCCGTCGGCAGGATGTCGCGACGACCTGGTGTGGTCGAGGAACACCTCTGCACGGACGTTATATTGCTTTTTAATCCTATCAAACTCTTCTCGGGTGAGAACCGAGAAGACGTCGAGGGACGCGTCCGCGGGAACTTCCCGCGTGGACGAGCTAGTTCCTTCCTCGGGTCTGGACGTTGACGGATCCATTCGAGTCTGCAACATCGACAGACACGGTCATTTAATCCTTCGTGTTTTGCCCCGTGCGGCGGCAAGGGACAAACTCCTAAAACCTTAATAGTAACTCGAGCCGCCACCCACGGCTCGAGTCCGACAACAGTGGCACGTCTCTGGTGAAACACCGAGAGACAACACCGCTGCCCACCAACCAAACAAATGCAAAAAAGAAAAAAAAAAAAAAGAGAAGCTTACTTTCTGGGATGCGTAATCGAGGCCGAAACTCATTCCAATTGCCTGATAAGCGCCGATCAGGAAAGAAAGATCTCTGGTTTGCAAAGGTTTGTCACTCGGAGCAAAAGAAATGTCGGTGGCGTCATCTGAAAAACACGAGTTCTTATATGGGCAACGAATCGACGGTTGTAACCCTTCGGAACCGAAGCGACAGCCCTCTCTCTCCTCCCCGCATTTAATGCGCCCCACGTCGCATTAAATGCCATAATGAGGGCTGACGTTTCAGAGGCGTTGCGCAGTCAAAAGACTGTCAATACGACGTCGAGTCAGCACACGCATTTAATGCACCTGACACATTACAGAGCGAGCAGAGTGCCCGACAGCGCGGATGCAGGTTCATTGAATCTCTCCACAACATAGAAAGGAACACCCGACGAATCCAGGTCGCTAGCATGATGGTCATCAGGTCGTTTAGACAAGGGTAGCTCGGGGTCGTACTCGCAAAGGATTCTGCACCGAGCTTCTCCCGTTCAGGTCGAAACGACTAAAACCCATCACGGCACGAGTTAGTTTCCAAGGTTCGACCCTCCAAACCTTACAAACTAGGGGGCTTCTGTTATGCCTGGGAAAGTAAGGGCTGACGTGGGAGGGTCACGTGGAGGATGACCTGCTCCCGTCAGAACATCAAACACACGCTGGGCCTGCCAAACGATATGGAGCTCCCACGCGTCTATTTCCCTGCTGTAAACTTTGCGAAGTCAGCTTGGGAAGAAGGTGATGGAACATAAAGCCGGATTATATCCTGACAATCACGCCAACCCAAGGATTTAATGATGATTACACGCTTCAGCTTGATATAAGAAGAAGAAGACCCCTTCATTAGGGGGATTCGACCATTTTTTACAAATGACTCTCTCTCTCCTGTAAACAACATATTTACTTTTTCAAAACCTCTTGTAAGTCAGTCCGCTGTTGCGACCTGACCCACACTCACTATCAATACAAATCAGTGGACGTAGGACTTGCTACCTTAGCATCCGAACCACTTTAAAAGTTCTTATAGCATTTATTTCTCTTTATATATTCATTTTCACGTGTGCTTTTTGATCAATCAACGTTGCACACGTATTGATTAGTTGGTGCCCAAAATCTCGCATCAACAAAGACAAAATTAAGAAGCTCGCCCGAGATGAAACATACGATGATAATTTATTCACAGCACAAGGTTTTTCATTACATGATATGCTTAAGTAAAGACAGATACAGAGAGAACTCTAAAGCACATAAACACAGAATCAGAAAAAAAAAAAAAAAGTCTCTGGCTAGGATGTATTATTCTGGTTGAGTCTAGCGGCAGCAGCCACAGAAGCTGATACGCCTGCCGGGTGAGTGGTGAGCATCGGATCGTTCCGCATCTCGGCCGCCGAGATCCCCTCTGCATCTCTTCGAGTTGCTTGCTTATCCGATGCTAACTTTGTAGTTGCATCCTGCAATTACGTCATTATAAACTTTGCTTAAAAATAAAAAATTATACAAATACTGAAAGAACTGGAACATTATAATTTAAAAAGAAAAAGAAAATCTAGTATTATAAAAATGATTCTGAACCATTAATGTTTCTAACACAACTAATTACACTTGACGCAATTCTTTTCTTTCGCATTTTTCTTCAGTTGTAAATACAATACAGTAAAAAAGAATAAAAAGATAGCAGAACTACTCATAGATGAAAGGTAATTACTGCTAAAATGTCAGCAAGTTTGGTCTTGTCCTCATCTCGGGCTGTCCTTGCATTGAGTGTTGCGGCTGACTGTGCGGCAGCTGCAATACCACCGGGGATTATGTTGATGCTGCCTGTGGCCCTCACTTCAGCCGCTTGAATGGCCGCCGCATCGCTCCATTCCACCGGCTTCTTTCCTACTGTGAGTGCGGTTGCTTCAAGTGCTTCACCAATCGTGATCCCACGTCCTGCCCCTTGCTCATATGCAGACGGTGGTGCCAACGGAGCTGGTTGGCTGTACTGCCCAACCACCTGTCCAAAACAAAACAAAACAAATCAACATTCATTTAGTGATGGAACTAGGATTTTGTTGCACCAATAAAGATGAACTCACAATCCAATTTTACAAATTTTCTTTCATAATCTCAACGAAACATCTTGCAATTAGATAGCATATATATAAACAAAACTAGTTACGAATTGATTAATTGTGAACTAGGTTGTAAGAATAGTGCTGCCCTTGTTGCACACACTGATTTTGTTTCAATGTAAGCAATTTGAAAGAAAAAAATTGCAACATAAAAATTTAGAGATTAAAAATATAAAATATTGACCATATAGAAAATAGAGAGAAAAAGAATTAACTTTGAAATTATTGAAAATGATGGTTGTTTTTTTAATTCACTATATATTCAATAAGTAAAGATAATTTTTTTTTTTTTTTTTAAAAGAGCAAGTTCGAAATATATTCAGGGTGTAAGAAAAGGAAAATTAAAAAGTGCTAGTTATATGGATTGATATTATTTTCATAAAAATAAAATAAAGGGTGTCTATGTTGAAATCACAAAATAGAGGGGGATACAATAATTTTTCAGGGTTGTGAGGCATCATCCCCCACTCACCGCTTAGGGGCTCCGCCCCTTAACATTATGCTTAAACGCTTTAATGGATAAACAGATTGAACTGCCTAGCTTTCTTTAGGAGGAACAATTTAAGGTGGAAAATTGGTACCTGTCCGCCGACTTCTTCTTTAATTATTTTTTTCCCCGGAGTATCAGTCTCGGTGATGCTGACACCAAGATCATTAGCCTCATTAGTCACATCATCCACACCCACAAACCCATTTCTCACATTTTTGTTCGCCGCTGATTGCATAGCGGACGCGGCGGCGCCCTTTTGGATCTTCCCCAGCATGGCATTTTCCGCCTTCTGCATCATCGCAGCATCTCTCGGCGCCACCGGCTTCTCCGCAAGCTCACCCTCGACGGCGGAGAAAATGTCACCGTATTTGATAGGCTCTTGCGGCCTAGTTGGATGTTGCTGGCTCATTTTTGAAGGATCGGATTGGATAATTAGTCTGAGAGTGTGATAGGATCAAGAGTTTGGTTTAGGAATTTTATGAAGAGTTGTGGGGAAGAAGGAATTGATTAATGATTATAATACGCTGCATGGGGGCATGCAATATTTGGACACGTTTGCTTGGAGAGTGAAACGTGGCGAAAACCCAGTGAGCTTGTTTTAGGATGTTGTGCCACGTGGCGGATTATGTCTACGAAGAGGGACTCTTGGAGTTTGGAGAAAATAAAAACATGTGGCTGTGTTATTTTTATCATGAAAAAGGTCGTTTACTTGGTCTTCAACAGCCAAGTGTCATTAATTTTTAGGCATATTAGCAAGAATAATACTACACATATATCATTCTCATATAATATTTTTTATACAATATTATATGGTAAGATATGATTGAGCAAAAATTTAATTTTAATTTTAAATTTGTCAATTATATATTGCCACATAATGTTGTATGGGAAATATTGTATGAAAATGATGTATGTGTAGTATTATTCTATTAGCAATATCATCCCTGAGGTCGGGACATGTTATACTTTATCCTAGTACCAGATATAATTTCGACCGGACGACATGCACTCACCCATAGTTTGCCATAATGGCAATTTGGTACCCGGTAGGTTTGAAAATAACAATTACCCACTTTCTGTCCAAATCTGTTAATAAAATCCGTTTAACTAAGGATAATATAGGGTGTGTTCGGCTTATTGTTTTTATCCATATTCTAGATCCTATTCTTCAAATGTTGTTTGGCACGTTATTCCCAAAATATTAGTCTATTTTTTTAATTATTTTTAGACCCTATAAGTTTATTAATTTCATTAAATACCCCCTAGAAAAAAAGTTTACAAACTAACAAAAACACTCACACCCGCCAATACTTGCCAGATTCCGACAACTACTGCCGATGGTAGCCAGAATCTATCAAAACAGTCACAACACCACCGAAAATTGCCGATAATGGCTAGATCACGGATCTGGCCGAAAAAGGCTATTATTGACAGACAACGACGGCCATATCTTTGGCCGTCGTTGACAGCCAAAGATGGCCTTTTTCGGCCGTCGAAGGCCACATCCAGCCTTAGATCTGGCCTTTTCCGGCCAGATCTGTGGTGGATAAGGCCGGAAAAGGCCATATTGATCGAATACAGTCCAAATTCGACAGGTATGTGTGGCCATTTTCATTTTCTGGTCAGATTCCGGCGGTGGTGGCCGGAATCTGGCACTGCGGGTGGTAAGGGAGTTTTTGTCATTTTACAATATTTTAATATATTAGGGTATTTATTAAATTAGCAAACCTTAGGGACTTTTTCATAAATTTTTAAATTTTATCTCGTAATACTCCCCTATCTAATTATCCAATACTATCCCCAAAATCCTACCCAAAATAATAAACCAAAGGCACCCATAGTAATTTTATATCCAACCAAAAAATAAACTTTAATATTCATCATTAATTTTAAATTAATCCATAAACCCCAATTTTTTTTTTTTATCCTATTTCTTTTTTCTCTTCTCTCTTTGCATCTCCATCTCCATCTCCTCTACGCCTCTTCTCTCTCTTATCCTTCTTCTTCATCTCTCCCTTCTCTTTCTTTCCTTTCTTCTCTGTCTTTTCCCTCCTCCCCTTCTCTTTTTTCCTTTTCTTCGCTCTCTTTTCCCTTTGGTCGTTAGGCAAGAACCTGTCTTTTCCTCTTCAGTTTTTTAATTTTTAATTTTTTTTCAAATTTTTATAATTTTTTACAGTTTGGGTTGGAAGTGTTTGAAATTTGTGGTGGTTTGTTGGTTTGTGGCAGTGGTGATGGTGATGGTGATGGTTGTATTTGGTGGTCTTTTCCTCTTCAGTTTTTTAATTTTTAATTTTTTTTTTCAAATTTTTATAATTTTTTACAGTTTGGGTTGGAAGTGTTTGAAATTTGTGGTGGTTTGTGGCGGTGGTGATGGTTGTATTTGGTGGTGAGTTTGGAGCTGGTGGAGGTCCCAACGAGACAAGAACAATTTCATTTTTCTTTTCCATAGGTTTCAGCAATGGGTTTGATTTTTGATTTTTTTTTTTTTTTCTTACATGATTGTTTAGTTGAGATGTAAGATGAATTTGATTATGGAGTTGAGATGGAGAATGAATTTTGAATGTGGTGTTAAGATGGGGATGAATTTCAATTGTGTTTATATTTATGGGAGGTGATTTTTTCTGGCAAATCTGGATGAATTTGGGAAAAGAGGGAGAAGAAAAGGAAAAAAGAGAAGGGGAGGAGGGAAAAGACGGAGAAGAAAGGAAAGAAAGAGAAGGGAGAGATGAAGAAGAAAGATAAGAGAGAGAAGAGGCGTAGAAGAGATGGAGATGGAGATGCAAAGAGAGCGGAGAAAAAAGAAATAAAGAAATAGGATAAAAAAAAAATAGGGGTTTATGGATTAATTTAAAATTAATGATGAATATTAAAGTTTATTTTTTGGTTGGATATAAAATTACTATATTGTCCTTAGTTAAACGGATTTTACTAATAGATTTGGACAGAAAGTAGGTAATTGTCATTTTCAAACCTTTTGGGTACCAAATTGTCTTTATGGTAAACTATGGGTAGGTGCATGTCGTTCGGCTTATAATTTCAGTCCTGTTAGATGGCGGATGAACATATGTTACGATCACTCTTAATCAGGGATAGATCTAAGAATTAATTTTAGAGGGCAACATTTGTGTATAATTCATCAAATATATATAGGAATAAAGTAATCAAGTAGAGGTAATCCAAAACCAATGTTTTAATAACCAACCCGGGGTGAAACTCGGCAAAGTGGCCGGGTCTCGGTTGACCGGTTTGACCAATAGGTTAAACCGGTGTCTAAAAGTTTGAAATCCAACAAAAACGCCCTTTAAAAGTCATAAGTTCTTACAGGTTTGAAATCTTATAAAAACACCCCAAATACCACCACTAGCGTCGACAAACCAAGGCAAATAAGGCTTGTTTCCGATGACAATAGACAACACTCCTCATCACCACGAAAACACTCTTATCAGCCTCATGACCAAAACCCATCTCACAGTTCCTCCAATTATCTCGCCAATTGTCAACAACAACTTGTTGTTGCCGCAGATTTAGTTGTGATTTTCGGTTAATTCACTTTCCGGAAATCACTTCCGTCACCACCATTACACTCATCGACCCTTCCTTTTCAAAACCCCCAACATCCCAGCCTTCAATTGTTCACTAATCATCGTCCTAATTTCTAGGATTTTCTGTGAATAAGAAAATTGGTAACCCGGCCTAGTGAAGGTCTCGGACCTCGGTTCAACCAGTTGGGCTGGGCCTAATTTTAAAATACTGTTAAAATCATTAAAACATATATGATCTAGTCAAAGCGAAAATCTAAACAAAATCAATGAATTATTTTAAGCAGGGTCACCAGCCCCCACTCTCCACAAATTGAGTTGGTCCCTGCTCTTAATATAAATTTGTTTGGACTAACACTTGTTCACTAAGGTTTGAACGGAGGCAAGAATACAGAGACTTCAATTATGAAGTTGAAAGAAACATTGAGTTATTATTATCCAACCCTCTAAAAAATAGTGAAAATATAATAAGTATGCACAATTTTTGAAAGATAGGGTCTTCCATATTATACATTATGATAAAATTATGAAGTACCCAACATAATACATAAACAACAAACCTAACTCACTCACACACACACACAAACACAATAAATAAACAACAAAACCACACAAACAAACATAATACATAAACAACAAAACCTGAGGCGTATGTGAAGGAAGCCAGGAGCTATGCGCTGAAATAGTGCAGATCGGCCAGGCTGAGCTTCACAAGAGGTTGAATGCAGGTGGAAGAGAAGTTGCAGCGGTGGTTGGTGGTTGGAAGAAGACGGATCGAAGAAATAAAGAAGAAGAAGAAGAAGAAGAAGAAAGGAATAAAGAATAAAGAAGGAAAAGAGAAAAAAAAGTTACATATGGCAGGTGGAAGAGAGAGTTGTCACAGTGGTTGGTGGTTGGAAGAAGACAGACTAAAGAAATAAAGAAGAAGAAGAAATAAATAAAGGAAGAAAGAAGGAAAAGTAAAAATAAAGTTTGCGGATGATAGGCCCCATAAACAAAACGATCAAATATGTCGGGAATCGTATTTTTTGGATACATTTTCCTGGATAATAAAACAAATGCATATTCTGAAAATTAGAGCCCAAATAGCATCATGAATATTTACCCAAAACTTTTTTACTCCCTTACAAAAGTATCAAAACCCCACCACCGGAAAAGGGTATATAATAATTGTGGGTGTAGATTTCAATATCTTTCAAGGGGTTGAACGAAATAACCCGAAGATCATTTTTCATTATTTGTGGAAAAGTGTAATATTGGAATTAGTTGGGGTGTATTTAGAATTAGAATATGTATAGAAAATTTCATAAGTGTAATATTGGAACTTTTGAGTCTTATTAGAGAAGAGTTGGGGTGCAAACAGAAAAACTTCGGGTGTAACTAGTATATACTAATCCTCGAATCCAAACAAATCCCTTCTCTTATATTGCCATGCCAAACCATTCTAGCCAGGGTTTTACGCATAATACTAACACGGAGCAGCAACTTCAGAGTGAACCGAGTCGACTCAGTTATGGACATAACCGCTGCAAATACGGCGGCTAGCGATGGACCCCCACCGCCTCTACCGGGAGAATCGGTGGCCTTATTCAAGGAAGGCATATCTTTGATTCTCTCCCGATGGTCGGCTCTTCAGATAGCCGTGGAGAACGAGTGGGGCGGCCGTGGCTCACGCGCCATCGCTGACCAGCTTTGCTCAGATGTATTCTCCTGGTTCACTCAGTCCAAAGGTTGATGATTTTTAGTTGATTGCTTAACTCGAAAATTGAAAGTTGCAGCTTTTGATTTGATTTTTTTTAATGAATTTTATTGGCATAAAATTTAAACCTAAGAATTTTTCAAAATATTCATTAGGTGGAATTAGCTCCTTAGCATATTTTTGTTTGGAAATTGCTGAAACCTCAGGATATGTTTCTCCACTTAATTTTAGTTTTGAGTAAGTTTCTCTTAAAAACGGATTTTTTTTAGTCTTAAAATTACAGAAATCTTACTAATATTGACGGGTTTTTATATGTTATTAGTTTTTATTTTTTTTATTTTTTATGATAAATTTATTGTTCTGTTGAACAAATTGCCATTGATGCTGGATTGACCTTGCCATCTATTAATCCTTATAGTTTATATTTTGTGAATAATTTAGACTTCATTTATTTTTTTTCTCATTATGGTTTACTTGTTCCATATCAGATACACTATATATTGATGATCTTGAGAACATTCTTGATGAAACCATGCTTTCACTCAACACCATGACTGAAGATGGCAGCGTTGAAGAGGTATTGCTTCTCTTCTCTTCCAGTTTGTACCTAATAGCACTGTAATTTCATATTTAGCAACCTCATGCTGTAGGAATTATGAGTTGAGTAGTTGTAGTTTTGTTGGTTGCTTATTTGCCGTCTTTGAAGGTTGTACACTTTTTCACTGGATAAGGAACTTGTAATAGTTCCTATAAATAAAAAAAGAAAAAATTGTAGACACCTGTCTATATTGTGCTCCTCATAAACTTGTTTTCACTTGCAAATATTCCTATTTTGCGTTTGTTCAGTTTTTTAGTAGTAGTATTATGAATGATGGTTGTGAACGATTGTGGTGGTTGTTTGCTTAGTTAATAAAAAATAGTTGGGTTAAAAAAGTAAACTCCCCAGGTGTGTATATAGCTCTGACAGATTTCCAGGACATTTCTCTATTACCTTTGTAGTTATAGGACCGTAATGATTTTGTACCTTTTGAATATGGTATTAGGGAACGTAATGATCTTGACCTTTTAAATATGTATCTGCTTCTGCATCGACCATGTCTATTCATTGCTTGTGCTTCTGCTCATGTGCGGCGTGTTATGTTATATAGGAAGTTTTATCATTGATATTTTATGGTTGTGCATTTTCTGTGGATCTTTACAGGTGGCAGAAAAATTGATGATCTTTCATGGAGAATGCTTGGAAGGTAATTACCAGTCTATTGTAGATCTGAGAGCAAGCAGTTCTCAGATGGCAGCTCGTTCTCATGTCAAACAGGTAATTAAAGCTTAAACCTCTTTCCAAACATAAATTTTTTATCTGCCTGTCTGGTCAGATTGATATCTCAAGATTTTGTTTCTATGTTGTAGTTTTTAATGTTGTTAACCTGATGATAGGATGAGAAAGTTCCAATGAATAAATAATTTGTGGTGGCCCGCACATTTAAACGGCAGGGCTTATATGTTTACTTATGACACAAGAATTTTTCAATAAGGTCCGTTCATAGGAGAGACCATAGACTCAATTCAAGGTTGTAATTTAAATTTTTTTTTTTTTTATTAGAATGAAGATGTGTATTGACATTGAAGCCTTGTACAGTGAATTTCAGTTCTTAAAGTATCATTTGATCTTCTCTTTGGTCGATTGCCCTCTGTTTTCTCCTCCCCTGCTTGGATTCTTTGTCTCATTACATATTTTTGCTTGTAGAGGATAGTCAAGAGCATACTATGCTTCAGTAACGTTGAGTTTTAGAAGAAATTTAATTGATTTTCTGTATTGTTAGGTGTTTTTGATGATTACTATTGTTTTCAGTTAAATTTTTCTGATTTTTAAGAAATCTACTGACATAATTAAGTGGAGTTAATTTGCATCTTTTAACACTTTTCCTTCTTGTTGTATCCCTTGTGCCCAGGCTTTGAATGATGAGGATGACGATAGCTCTGATGAAGATGATGATATGTCAAACATGATGGTGGATACACCAGAATCTGTGTCAAAACCGAGTTCAGCAAACATACCAACTAGTGATACGAGGATGACGGAGACAGCCGAAGCAGAAGATGGATGGACAGTAGTTTCATCTAGACGTGGCAGCAAGGGCAAAAAGAACTAGGTTGAACCTCTCATTCCCTTGAATCTCTCGGGAACACAATATAATTTCTCCTTTTCTTTCTCTGCTCATGTCTTTCTGCAGGTTCTTAAGGCATTTTTGGCATGTTGCTTGCTATTTATCTTGTCCCTAAACCTAGCAAATTTTTGTAGTGAAGAGTGTTGCAGTATCGATTTCTTTGTATATGGACTCATAATCCAGAATCACATAGAGACTAATTTTTATATATAAATTTTCTTGGAAGGATTATATTTTGCCTTATCCTTTCCTTCAAATTACTCTACAAATTGTAGAGAAACTAAACCTTGCACTACCGAGTTATAAATGACATTTGTATTGTCTTGTATAATTTTACTAAATGAATTCTCAAACTTCACACCATTACAGCAATGATCTACAAGGAAATCCCACAATAGAAAACAAAAACCATACAAAATCTAAATTCCCAAAAAGAAATTATCCGAAATTATCCTTTCTCCTGGTGGTCAGATAGCGAATCCTTTAGCCATTGGATTAGCTATACTCAGGAGGCTTTGTGGTATTTACACATTTGTGCAATTACTTTAGCTCATTAGGCTTGTATTGTATGTAAGGTGTTTTGTGGCTCTAGAATTAGACATGCTCCAATGTGAGCTTGGATACCTCCCATACCTAAAAAAGATTATCCTAACTTAGTCCCAATTCAAATTAATTACTCTTACCAGAAACAAAAACATTAAGACTGTTACCAAAAACAAAAACGAAGGCAAAAGGGTCTGCTACAAGGAGAAACTATTTTAGTATAACAGAAAAACATTAGTCTGTTACCATGTTTCCGCTATTAGAAGAGAAGTCCTTAGTAATCCTACATTTTCTAACCTTGCTAAGAAAGTGAACCTTGTCTCAGCAGGAAATTGGGCAACTACTTCTATCATAATTCTTGAGCTTATGGCGCACTCAAGAAGTGCATGCATTTTAACCGCACAAGTCCCTGATCCCTTCAAAGATTTAACTCTCAATTTCCTCTTCTCCTAACTATATATAATATTATCTAAATTAGCTAATATATAGTTCATCATCTTATCAACCTTAACTCACCAACTCCCTCTCTCACAATCATCAACCCACCTACCTTGCTTCAAATTACCCAACTACAGCCCTCCAAAACTTGTCCTTATTCCACTCAAAATGCTCACCAATATCATCAAACTCTTCTTCTTTTCACTCTCATTCTTTATTTTCATCTCCCCAATTTCACCCCAATTCCTCCCTCCAAACTATGGCCGTCAAGGTGAATGGACACTCCTACATGAAAGCACAGGCATTGTAGCGATGCACATGCAGCTCCTCCATAACAACAAGGTGGTCATCTATGACCGTACCGATTTCGGTCGCTCCAACCTCTCTCTCCCCGGTGGCCTTTGCCGATACGACTCTGGTGAACAAGCCCTTACATATGACTGCACTGCACACTCCATTCTCTATGATACCACCACCAATGGCTTCCGCCCCCTTATGGTTCAAACCGATGTTTGGTGCTCCTCCGGCTCGGTTATACCCAACGGAACCCTAGTCCAGACTGGAGGCTTCAACGACGGTGACCACGTTGTCCGTACATTCTCCCCATGTCTTGATCATGAAAATTGTGATTGGCTTGAATTTCCAGAATACTTATTAAGACGTAGATGGTATGGAACTAACCATATTTTACCTGATGGTAGCATAATCATTGTTGGAGGGAGAAGAGAATACAGCTATGAGTTTTACCCCCGGAATCCTCAAGCTCCATTTCTTCTACGTTTCCTGATTGAGACAACAGATTATGCTGAGAACAATTTGTACCCTTTTGTCCACCTTTTACCGGACGGAAATTTGTTTCTTTTTGCAAATACAAGATCAATAGTGCTAGATTACAAGCAAAACCGTGTGGTTAGAGAGTTCCCTGAGATCACTGGAGGTGATCCGCGTAATTATCCAAGCACAGGATCATCCGTGTTGCTTCCTTTAGATGAAAATAACAATGGCAGCAATGTTGAAGCGGAGATCATGGTCTGCGGTGGCGCACCAAAGGATTCATATGGACGAGCATTGCGACAGGACTTTGTACGTGCAGTTTCCACATGTGGGAGGCTCAAGGTTTCCCATGCAAACCCTAATTGGGAAATGGAACCAATGCCAACGCCGAGAGTTATGAGTGACATGTTGATTCTCCCCACCGGTGATGTGATCATAGTCAACGGTGGCGAAAGCGGTACTGCTGGGTGGAACAATGCGCGGGACCCAGTAACCCGGCCGATCATCTACCGTCCATCAGTACATGAAAGTAGCTTGAGATTCTCAGTTATGTCACCGGCCTTCCGGCCGAGATTGTACCATTCCTCAGCTATTCTCCTACCTGATGGGCGTGTTTTGATAGGCGGTAGCAATCCACAGATCTATTACAACTTTACCAATGTACTTTACCCGACCGACTTGAGCTTGGAGGCTTTCTCACCGCCGTATTTATCGGTTGAATACACGGCATTACGGCCGAGAATCATGCACGTGGATCAAACAGTGAGGCACAGGCAGTCGTTTAGAGTGAAATTCATTGTGCTAAATTTCTTGTCAGGGAATGTTGTATCAGTGAGAATCATTGCACCGTCATTTACAACGCATTCTTTTGCAATGAATCAGAGGATGGTGGTAATGAATAAGCTTGGCGTTTCACGGGTCGGGCCTGCTGTGTATAATGTGGACGTTGTGGCCCCGTCGACGGCTGAGATTGCTCCTCCGGGGTACTATTTGTTGTTTTTGGTGCATGCCGAAATTCCTAGTCCCGGTGTGTGGTTGAAGATAGAGTGACGAGTTGTTGGGTAGAACACAGTTGTTGCCTTGTTGGGTAGAATAAGTAGAGTAATCTGAATTTACTAAGATATAATATAAAAAATATGATACTATTATAATATTCTAAATATTTTCTTCATTTACATAATCGAGAAAAAAAAAAAAAAAATCCCAAATAGAAAATCAACTTCAGTTAAACAAGAAAATTGATTACCGATTAAAAAGTTGAGGAGGTTGAATCCAAGAAATTGGTCAACCCCGTTATCTCTGTGAAATCAGTGAGCAGAGACTGTTGGGATAGGAAATTCACTATCTTCTTCCACCGGAACGGCTAGATGATAAAGGATATTGAGGAACAACGATGTATTACCCCAACTGTTAACTTTACACCACTTCATCAGTGACCGATCAACCAACTTGAGAATTCGCCATCGTTTAACCTATACAAGATAAAGTGGCAATAAGAGGTCTCCATCCGACGCGATCAAGGAATCTCTGTTGTAAGAGTTCTTCTCCAATGTGAGGACATGGATGGTTTTCCATTCCTATGTTAAAAGTCAATTTAAAACCTCTCTCACTAATACAAGCATGTAAAGAAACATATTTTTGTTACGAAATCTCGTAACAACTAAAAATACTCGATTGACCTTAACAGAATCCAATATTATAACCCCATAGTTATGAATAATCTGAAAAAAAAAATAAAACTAATGAAATTAAATGCAAAAATAGCTTTTAAAGTGGTTAGGCGACTAAATTCTTCAAACATATGTGTATGGTTATTTTATTAATGTATTTGATTACAATAATAAGTTCACTCTAAAATTGTTAAACCCTTTACAACGATTTAAAATGATTTTGAGGGGGTTTATATGATGAGTTGATAACAATTACAAGAGCGATTTTTAGGATAATGACTTGATTGTGAGAAATTAATCTAACGATCTTTGGTGTAATTATCACGCGAGATTGTCGGAAGTCTATCCTATAATATTCTCCTTGATTTTAAGAGATAACACCTGTCTAAGAAGATAATGTTCATCTACGGTTTGGAGGATAATTGTCGGATAACTCGCTTTAATTACTTCTATCCATAGCTCGCTTCCATTGATCGTCGTCTCACAAATTACTTCAAGTTTCAGCTCACTCCAAGCTATTGCTTGCTCCGAACTGGCTGCACATTTTCGCACAACAACATCCTTAAACTATCATAGGTGTCATCGTCACATCAATGCTAGACACTCACCACCAGCCAGATCATTGGTCATTGTTAAAGCTCAATATATATTTATCATAGTGTTGGGATATACCTCTTCAGTGTAACAACTGTTAGAGAGAAATGGATAGTTTGGGGGCAGAATCTGCACTTTTAAGACTAGGACAATATCCAAATGAGATTTATTTTGGTTTTTAAACAGAAATACCCTCCTACCTATCGAATCATGTAAATGTTTGTTAAACGCGAAGGGGTAAATCCTAGTATTTTAAAACAATATTGGACTTAGTCACTTAGACAATTGTGGACCAAGACTCGTGGTGGATAAAGTCTTTCCCTCGTGTTTATATATATATATATACACACACACACGGAAATTCTTTAGCTAGGATATACGAGAATACTATTGGATTTATTCATTGAACTGATATGATATTTTATAATAAATTTTGATCAACATTAGGTTACATGCGTCCGAGATTATGGTTGCATGTCTCAAATATGCACAAATCAACTTAAAACCTCACTTGCTAATACAAGCACATAAACAAACATGCTCTTAAAACTATCCTAAGGGTGCATTTGATTCATGAAATATTGGATTACTGGAATCTTATATTACCTTGAAAACTACTGGGAATCTTTAGGAAAATGTGATTGACTAGTTAGTGGGTATATTATATTAATATGTTTGGTTAAGGGGAATAAATTGGTGGGTATATTATTTAAATTACTAAATTGCCATCTTTTTAAATATCATCATCTTCTTAGTTCATCACTAGTGTCCAATAAACTTTATACATACATATATATATATATATATACACACACACACACGAAAATTCTTTAGTTAGGATATACTAGAACACTATTGGATTTATTCATTAAACTGATGTAATATTTTATACTAAATTTTGATAAACATTAGGTTACATGCGTCCGAGATTATGGTTGCATGTCTCAAATATGCACAAATCAACTTAAAACCTTACTTGCTAATACAAGGACATAAACAAACACGCTCTTAAAACTATCCTAAGGGTGTATTTAATTCAGAGAATGTTGGATTACTGGAATCTTATATTACCTTGAAGATTACTGGGAATCTTTAAGAAAATGTGTTTAGCTAGTTAGTGGGTATATTATATTAATATATTTGGTTAAGGGAATAGATTGGTGGGTATATTATTTAAATTACTAAATTGCCTTCTTTTTAAATATTAATATAATATAATATAATATTTATTATTAATTTTTGAATAATTTTTTTAACCCCCAATATTTTAAATTTAGCTAAAACGCCCTCGCTTATATAAAACTTTAATTTATGACAAAATCACCCCACCCCTTATTGCCACTGCAAACCACCGTTAGAAGTCTTCGAAAGTCACCATGAGTAGCTCATCGTGACCACGAGACTCTGATATGGCCGTTTCTGGCCATATTAATGGCCGAAAAAAGTCATATCAAGCCAGATCTGGCCATTAACAGCCAAATCCTTGGCAATTATTGGCCAGATCTAAATGAGATCTAGCCGTTAACAGCCATGGACCTAGCCATTAACGGCAAGATCTCGCCCAGATCTGGCTGCTAATAGCCAGAATAGATCTGGCAATTTTCGGCCAAATCTGGCTTGATATGACCGTTTTCGGCCATCAATATGGTCATATCGAAGCCTCTCGGAGACTCCCAGTGAATCTTGGTTATTTTTAGGGACTCCAGCGATTTCTCGACGGCCGTCCGTGGTGGTTGGCCTGCTGTCGGGGGTGGTGGCTGGGTGGTCTATAGTTTGTTTTAAATATAAGGACATTATTATCCAAAAACTTAATTAAACAAGGGTAAAATTAAAATGGTATATTAATATAAATTTATTTTAAAACAGGGGCATTATTGTCCAAAATTTTTATTAATAAGGGATATAATTGTAATAAAAATAAAATTACTAAGATAATCTTATAATACCTAAGAAAATAGAGGTAATTTATATTACCAATAGTAACAACTATTGGTAATGCAAGATAACCGAAATCTTATATTATTTAACAACCAAACATGACAATCAAGTAATATACGATGACATAACCCTAGTAATCTTCTATTACCTCCAACCAAATGCCTAATAAGTATCACCATTGAGCGGACTCTATTGCCACATACTCACCTCCTACCACCTCTTCGGCCATTGTGTGGCATCCTTATTGGTGCGTTTACATGTCCACACAAATGTCATATTTACTTGAATGAAAATTTCCATCTTAAAACTTATTATCATCGTGTTCTTTTTAGTTAACAAGTATCATATATGAACTAAAATGGATATTTAATAATTAAAGATCATAATTACATATTTATCCATTATGCAAAGTCCTAATCAACATATAAACTTTCGTGTTATAAATTTAAACTATTATTAAGCTTCTAAATTACACTCGTCTACGATGATAATTATACGGTTCGAACATGTAGAAGTTAACTTAAAACCTTACTCACTAATCCAAACATGCCCTGGACCTATCCTAGGTGTCACTGTTGAATGGACTCACTGCCACGTACTTAACCTTCTGCCACCTCAGCAGCCACTGTGTCGCATACTCATTGGTCCGTTTATATGTCTACCATCAAACCTGGCGTGTTTGAGCACCGATGTCCTTTTTTGTAATTAAAAGAAAGTTCAAGACCATTTAATTACCGGCCAACATATACAGTTTTATACCGGCTCTATAAAGATTTTTCCCTCCTTTAAATACTTTCCTCTCGCTTGACCTTCAACTTCTTAACAAACAGTGAGAAAATCGGAGAGAGAGTGAGGGAAAATCGGGAAAAACTGTGAGAAAATCTAGAGAGTGAAGTGACAGTGAGAGTTTGAGAGAGATGAAGCACATTTTCAAGAAGCTGCATATAGGCAGCAACCACGAGCCGAATCGGACAAACGAAACCCTAACTTCGACATCGTGCTCGACTGATCAAGGCCGCACATCATCGAGCGCTGCTCCACCAAGTCCGTCGACGTCATCGCCGGTGTCATCGCCAGTACCGGTATCGAATTCTAGTGTGACGGACTTCATGTCATCGGAGGAGGAGTTTCAATTGCAGTTGGCCATGGCAATCAGCGTGTCGAACACAGAGGATTTGTCGGAGAAGGATCAGATCCGGGCGGCGACGATGTTTAGTTTGAACAACAATAACAATAATTGGAGGAGTGATATAGGGAGTAATAAGGCTGACGTGGCTGCGGAGGTTTTGTCAAGGCAGTATTGGGTAAATGTTATTTTGAAGCTTAATTTTGGTGAATTCAATTGTTTTCTTTAAAATTGACCGGGAAGAATTTTCGCTTCTGAATTTGATTTAGGTTTCATTTTACTTGGGTCGTAGGATGAAATTTTTAGCTAATTGTTGAACTAGTGTCAATTCTGTTGTAGATGTTGAGAATAAACTTGACATTGAGTATATTTTCCTTGGTTTGATGTTGATCAGGGAAATTACTCTTTTGGAACTGCTTTTGAGTACATGTTGTGAATTATACTGAACGAGCTTGGACTGGAGAGTCGGGGTTTTAGTTGGGTTCAGCAGCTGGTCTCGAGCCTCTCTGTATATGATAAATAGTTAATGCCGTTTAGGGAAATTTATACTTTAATTGACTTGTTAAATTAGAAATTTCTAAATTCATGCCGATTAGGGAAATCAGTCTTTAATTGACTGTATGGTCAATTCGCCTTGTTTTAGTTTTTTTGATATAGTTGTTTATGATAGATTGTGCTTTTGTACTTGATAATGTGTGTTTGTGATTTTTGATTGACATTGCTGGGTTAATTTTCTTTAATTTGCTACTGAATTAGGGGGATATAATGGTTAGTTTGTACTTGATAATGTGTGTTTTTTTATTTTTTGATTGACATTGCTGGAGTTAACTTCCTTTAATTTCCTATTGAATTTGGGGGATATAATGAATTGTATTGTTATTGAGTCTTGCATCGTAAATAGATGTTGATGAACCTTGTGTTCATTGTTATTAACTTTATTTTTGGTGCTTGGTACCTGATTTGTTAGTATTTGATTTCAGATTTTTGATGTTGGCTAGGCCAATTTACTGTTTACTCAAAAGAACATGTGGCAGATTGAGCTATTGTTGAGTTTCACATGTAGGCAAATGTAGTTCTGTTCTGCTTGACATGCAGTTGGCTTTTGTTTCACCAGGAGTACAGTGTTCTTGACTATGAGGAGAAGGTGGTGGATGGATTTTATGATGTATTTGGTCTCTCCACTGGTCCACCAGCACAAGGAAAAATACCATCTCTTGTGCATCTTGAAGCAAGTCTTGGGAGTTCTGGATTTGAAGTTGTAATTGTCAATCAAAAAATTGATCATGCCTTGGAAGAGTTAGTTCAAGTTGCACAATGTATTGCATTAGATTTGCCTGCAACTGATGTTAGTCTTCTGGTACAGAGACTTGCTGACCTTGTCACAGGGCATATGGGTGGGCCTGTAAAGGATGCAAATATAATGTTGGCAAGGTGGATGGAAAGAAGCACGGAGTTGAGGAGATCTCTTCAAACAAGTGTGCTGCCTATTGGCTCCATAAATATAGGCCTTTCTCGACACCGTGCTTTGCTTTTCAAGGTAGGTGTTTTATATAGGTCATATTTAATTTAGTATTTTTGATCTTTCCTTGTTATCAGAACTTGAGGCCAAGATTGATATGAGCTATACATGGTATGTGATTTTTTTTTTTTTTACCTAATACCTAGCAGATTGTACATATTATTTATGGAATTGTGTAGCCAGAAAGTTTTAGTACGTTAGTCTGGTTAATTGATATGATAAAGGTCTCTTACAGAGTGTTTTTGCCTTTGCACTGGGAGCAAATATTTTATCTCAATACATTTTCTAAAACTTATATGTTTGCCTGGATGTAGGTGTTGGCTGACAGTGTCAAGTTACCTTGTAGACTTGTAAAAGGTAGTCATTACACTGGTGTAGAGGATGATGCTGTCAACATAATAAAGCTCGAGGATGAAAGGTTTGGCTTGAGCTCCTTATACTTTAATTTGAGATTTTTTTTTTTGGGAATCTTCTACCTCTTTGGCATATCTTTGTTGTTATGTTGGTTTTTTGATATTGAAGATTAAATTCATGCTGAACTTATGTGTTTCCACATTTCACTCATCAAAATAATTTCATTTCATTTTTACAAATTTCCACAGCCATTGTGGAGCTTATCCTTGCATGAATTAATATATTTTCAAGTATGTATTTATATCATTTATATAATAATAGATCTTTTTCCTCTGCCCGTTATTCTCTTTTGCCATCTTATATTCACTGCTTAAATTAGCAGCTAGCTACAACTTTTTTGTGCTATGTTTTATTTCTCATTTTATGCCTCATCCTCCCCCCCTCCCAGGTCCCAATCAGTTTGAGTATGGTGAACAACTATAATGATGTGGGATAGATACCAATTAACTTTTTCGGGCACTTATATGCTATTTCAGATTCCCTCTTTGCATGATAATGTTTTGGCACATGTGCCTTTCCTGCCCATCTTTATTATGGCTATGTTTTCTTTGGCCTTTCTCCCCACTTTGTCAAGAAATAAAATATTTCAAATTGCAGAAAACAACCAAAACTTGCTTGCCACCACCGGAAAAGAAAAAGTGCGACTCTTATGTATAACTAACTTATGCAGATACATACATGCTATTCTGCTTAATATTTTTATGTTACATTTATATTTCTGTGCATTCTGAATTATATATTTTTTCCATCAGGGAGTGTTTGGTTGATCTCATGGCAGCTCCTGGGACTCTTATACCTGCTGATATTTTAAGTGCAAAGGATACTGCCTTTAAACCATACAACCCTAATATAAGTAAAATCCCTGTTCTCCTGCCCTCAAATGGCTCTGGACTTGCCTTCTCAAAACCAAGGCCATTACTTGGTGAAGGAAGTAGCCAAAACTCTACAGTGGATGGTAGTTCACCCATGGACAGAGGGTCTGGTTCTGAAAAGGCAGAATCCTTACCTTCATTCCCTGCTCCCAGTAGTGAAACTGGTGCTAGTTCTTCCGGAATATCTAATAGAGTGACTCCTAATCAATTGGATCATCTTTCCTCATCAGCCATTGGAACTTCTCTATATAAAGGGGGTCGTGGGCCCAATGCAGCTGGTGATGGTACAAGGATGAATGTCAACATAGTTCCATACGGTCAAAATGGTCAGGAGGACTCAAAAAACCTTTTTGCTGATCTTAATCCATTCCACATAAAAGGAACTGGAAAAACCTCATTCCAAAACAAGCCTGTAGATAGTAGAGTTGAAGAGTTTCAGAGACAGAGAAATAACCCTATCTCTGGCCGACCCCCAGTACCAATGATGTGGAAGAATCAACATCCAAACAATGAAGTACCTAAAAGAAAAGATTACAGTTATAAGGAGGGCATCTTACCTAAAATTAACCGTGACCCTAATAATTATAATCTGTCATCATCAATTTCCACCAGTTCAAGTACATCTGAAAAGTTCAATCCTCATGGTTTCAAGTCATCTAGTGATTTGAACTTGTCTAGTAATAATAGTGATGCTAGGAATGCTTTGTCTAGTAGTGGCCCACTAGTGGCTTCTACCCCGAGCCAGTTAAGTGGACCACCTTTGTTTGAAGATTTGAGCACTAATTCTGAGGAAGAAAATCCTAGGAATGGAGAGGACATGCAGATTGATGTCTCGAACGTATTTCAGGACTACGATAACAATGAAATTGGTTTCTATAACCGTAGAATGTGCACGCATGACAGGTTTATGGGGACCAATCTGAAACTGAAGGATTTAGAAAGTCCAAGCTCATCACTTGAATCCTACACAAACAAGGTTGATCAAATTTTTGATGATGTAGATGTTGGTGAATGTGAAATTCCATGGGAAGACTTGGTTCTTGGTGAAAGGATTGGACTAGGTACTGCATATGGCTTCTTATTTTTTTATGTATTATTTGGTAATCTTGGTTTAGTTACTAATAAGGGTGATTTTTGGCAATATTATCTTACGAATATAGTAGTGATTTGTTTTGCTGGAGTTGAAAGTTTTATATCATTCTGTTTGTTGTTCAAGTGCTGCTTTACTTATTTTAGTTTTTAGAAGCTGTCATGGTGGTTCAATTACGTCTGTATCACTGTCTACTTTAATTTTAAAATTTCTGGGAGTTCTCTATTTCTTTGTTGTTCATGAATTATTTTTTTGGGTGTGAATAGGTTCATATGGAGAGGTCTACCATGCTGATTGGAATGGCACGGTTAGTTCTATATACCCTTTTCTGTATATGATATACAATTTTTTGTTTTTTCCAATTGAAAACAAATTTTAGATTTGGGATTTCGTATAAACTGCTATATATATAGATTGGTAAAAAGAAACTCATGATTCAGCTTGAATTTGGCTAGAGGCCTTTTTTTCACAATTCTTAAGATTTGTGAAATTAAATTAAATATTCATTTTGTGAATAACCCACGCCGCTCTTTCTTTATTTTCATCTTTACATACTTGCTATTGCCATCTTGAGGTTGTTGGTGTTTGGCATGATCATCTATATTAATTGATTCTACCAGAAGCATTATGGTGGGGGTATTGTTACCTGTTTTATACTATTTTAGGAGATTCTTAAAAAATGTGGAAAGAAATAAAGAAATTTCTAATATTAGGGATGTTGAATTGTTGTTGAATAACAGGAGGTTGCGGTGAAGAAGTTCTTAGACCAGGATTTCTCAGGTGCTGCTTTGGCAGAGTTCAAAAGAGAAGTAAGCATTGAGTTAGCCGTCATTCTTTTTTTGCTTTATGCTTTAGGCTTGTAGAGAACAGCAGTAATGGTACATGTGTGTCCAGGGTTGTGGTTATTAACATTGTTGGTGTAGAATAGTTGTCCCTGGAATTAATCTTTGTTCCATATTGTAGGTGAAAATAATGCTTAGACTGCGTCATCCCAATGTAGTACTTTTTATGGGTGCTGTTACTCGTCCCCCAAATCTCTCTATCATTACTGAATTTCTTCCAAGGTATGATTCTGTGTCTTCATTTTGTCACCATATCTTCTTACTGGATGAATTTTTGCTGGCCAGTGAGAATCCAACATGTGATGCTAACATTTCTTAATTTCTGGCATTTGTGTATATTTATGTGCAACATACATAATTATACATATTTAAAGTCAAAATATTAAGTTTTGTGAATGATTTGTCATTTTCCAGAGGAAGCTTATTTAGGATTCTTCATCGTCCTCAATGTCAACTCGATGAGAAGCGTAGAATAAAGATGGCTCTTGATGTGGTATGAGATTTAACTTTACATTCCTGTGAATCAGTGTTGAAGATGTGTGCAGACTTCAAATCTCTTATTATTGTGCAGGCAAGGGGTATGAACTGCTTACATACCAGCACACCAACCATTGTTCATAGAGATTTGAAATCACCAAATCTCTTGGTTGATAAAAACTGGAATGTTAAGGTATATATCCTTCCGTTTTTTGAACATCTCTTGGTTTCTTCTGTTACTATTCCCTTTCTGTTTCATGCTTTCGCAGTAAATAAAGATGAAAAAACTGATGTGAATGATTTCACATCTACTCTCACTGTTTTATTATTTATCTAAATATTTTCAAATCTGATATTTCCTTAATGCTTTTCACAGCTAGTTTAACTGGGATGGTATTATTACTGCAGCATTACACCTACCTAAGTTTGTGAACATGGTTAAGTAGTCCATTTTTTATTAGCTTGTTTAGTGGGGAAGTTAAACTACATTTTGGCTTGTAGGTTGGTAAATAATGTTAGAATCTGATTGATGATTTGAGCTTGATAGTTTGGCTGGAGATTTATGTGTTCAAACTGGGATTGCTATTAATAGACTTTTGTTTCTATTACATATCCATATCTGGACCACTTAAAATGGAAGTCAAAAGCAATTTGAATTGAAATAATTTTAAGCTTATATAATTAGTTTATTGAGTTACAAATTTTGAGGGACTGAAGTATTTAAGCATGCAGGTTGGTGATTTTGGATTGTCACGCTTGAAGCACAACACCTTCTTGTCATCCAAGTCAACTGCAGGAACGGTGAGAATCTGAAACTACTCTTTGGTATATATTTACTCGCCTTTGTGCATAAAGGTAAATATGCAGAATTTCTCTTGGTTCTTTCATATATCTCTGGTTGAGTCATCTTTCATGTTTCAGCCGGAGTGGATGGCACCAGAAGTTCTTCGCAATGAGCCTTCTAATGAAAAGTGAGTTGCTATAATTCAGTTAGGCATTTTAAGCATCACCTAGTTTATTCTTGTACTTGGACCGCATGAGTCAATTGTCTTTTCTGCTATTTGCTTTATTAATATATCAACTTTTCCTTTCTACATAAGATTATTTTAAAATCGTGGAACATAGGAATATTTTGTATCTTTTATTTTAGCCCTGAAGAATTAATGCTAGTGAAGCTTTTAAGATTATTTAAATCCATTCTGAGTGGGCATTTCTTTACTTTTGAGCATTTATTTACATGGGTTAGGGGTGTGTCCATGGCAAACAATGAAAACCTATCTGCCCTCATGAAAGAGGGGCCTAAAGTGCCGGGTAAATGCTACCACCAATTTTCATTCAACTATTTTTGGTGGAAATCTGTTTATGTGAATCCCGTCTCTGGCTTGCTGCTATTGCATAGCAATATAAAAATGCTCCAATACAGGAAGCTTGCTACAATTCTTTTGGCTACCACCCCTAAAGAGCTTATCACACTGTCTAACTATAATATATATCATCTGTTGTGGATGTATAGGTGTGATGTTTATAGCTTCGGGGTGATTCTATGGGAGCTTGCAACTCTGAGATTGCCTTGGAGTGGAATGAACCCAATGCAAGTGGTGGGAGCAGTTGGTTTCCAGAACCGTCGCCTTGATATACCCAAGGAAGTTGATCCATTGGTTGCAAGGATAATATGGGAATGCTGGCAAACGTAAGAGAAAAATATATAAACACAAGCCTTAGAAATCTTGTTTATTGAATACACTGATTATAGTTTAATTTACTCTTTTCTTTTTATTTCCCCAGTGAACCAAACTTGCGGCCTTCATTTGCACAGCTCACGGTTGCTCTGAAGCCCTTACAGCGACTTGCCATACCTGCACATATGGACCAGCCTAGCTCGCCTCTCCCACAAGAGATTTCAGTAAATTCTACCCCTTGAAAACTCTCAATTTATCAATTGTGAATAAAGAGACATTCTGCTTCTTTCTCGAGTGAGGATAGTATAGAAATGTTAAAAACAGAAAAGAGAAACAGGAGAAATTATAGGAAAAAGAAAGAAACTCTTGTAGACCAGTGGTTTGTGTTTAGTAAATATATGTATTGCTGCTGCTCAAAGTTTAGGAACGGTTTTGTACAGTGCAGTGTCCATAGCATATGTCCAAAATGTCATAAACTTCGTAATATATATATAATGTCAATGCTGTTTATAAGACAAAATGTGAATTGTAATTACGCCGTAAAATTCCATGTGTTCTGAGTAAAAATTTTCTGATTCATTTACTGGGCTTGCTTGATTTGGAACGATTCATTTACTGGGCTTGCTTGATTCACTTTGCTGTCTAGTTAGTTTCTCTTCAATGGTTCTGCTTTTGCCTATTTATGTAGAAAAAATGAACAATATTTGAAGGATTTTATTTCAGAGAGTCCGAGACCAAGCAAATTGAAATGACAGTAACATTTAATCAGATTCTGTCATACTGAAGACAATTATGTCTCTACTTTTTCCTTTAACAAAGAAATATTTCTTCAGAAGACCCTCTCTGGTAAACCCAGCTTTCTCCAGCACCTTTTGTGAAGCTTTATTTTCGGCGAAAACCAAACCTTCAACCCTGTCCAAATACTTCAACTCCTTGAACACACATGAAATCACCATCCTAACTGCCTCTGTTGCTATACCTTTTCCCCAGTACTTTGCACTCAGAGCATATCCTATCTCTCCCCTCCGTTGATCTTTCCCTATACCTGGCATCACGTAAATCGACCCAATCGGACGGTCTTCGATACAGATAGCTCTGTACCAAGGATGAGACCAAATCACTTCTTTGAGGAAGTCCAAGGCATCATCCCTAGAGGTAAATGTGTTCCATCTGCAATAGCATGTTACATTATCATCCCCTGCCCATCCCATAAAATCATCAACATCACATAATTTGAAGGGGCGAAGAGTGATTTCTACAGATTTTAACATGCTCTCAATATGAGAACTGAATATGGCAAGGCTCAAATATATAGGCAGAGCATTTGGGTCATTACTCTCAGTAGCTAAACTTTCAATTCACAAAGGCAAGTGGATGGGGCCAAAGCTAAACTTTCAGATAAGTTGGTTTGACTCAGATTTAGCCAGATTGCATGAATCTATGTTCAATTAATCTATGTCCACTGGAATGCAGTTGTAAACTAAAACGTCATCACTTTTAATATTAAACCCTGCAAGTTGCTCCAAAAGATAAACATGTTGTAATAACAGTTGTGTACATCAACTAAAATACTAATTGTTCATCATTTTTTTTTTTTTTTTAATATAGTGTAGAAACTTTTTTTTTCCTTCTCGCAAAGCTGAGTTCGAAATTGGAGCCCTTTCAAATCTTTTTTTTTTTTAACTTTTTTTTTTTTTTAAAATCAGAGTGTTGGTGTCAATTTATGCATATTTCAATCAATCCTTAGGGCCACTAAATATCCTACAAATGCAATGTTCTAGATAATTCACAAATGTGGTAGATCAACCGCTTAGGGTTGCCCTTTCCAAATCTTACTATCATTGGGAAAAGGTTGAATACATTCCTGTACAAATCAGTACTTAAGACATCTATGTTTGAAGTTTGGTAGGAGTATCTGGTGCAAGAAAACTATAGATAAACAAATCCCTTAATTTTTCCCTTCATATAACAGTATTTCTTCAACAGACCCTCCGAAGAAACCCAGAGTTCTCTAATACTCTCTGAAAAGCTTTATTTTTTCATAGTGTTATAATTAATTACGATTTATTAATTATTAAAGATAAAATATATAAATATATCTAAAGAATTTGAGTAAAATTTCCTCAAAGATTATCTTAAAATTTCCTTCAGATTAACAGCAAATGACAGATATTGTAAAAAAAGCTATCAAATATTTTGTTTGCCTCTGCAGTACGCTGTCAGAAAATCCTTGAATTTAAAACTAAAACAAGCATTTATAATAATTAAAGGAATAAAAAATAAGATGTCACTTGAAGTTTTAAGTAAACAAAAAAAATCATAAATAATCATCAGAGACATCAACAGTTATGATTGAAGGACTCTCCATGTAAAGATAATGGGAACTTATAAAAGTGAAGACCAGAAGATCAGATCATAGGGTGTCAAAAAAGTTTCACAAATTGTTAAGAGCGAACTGATTCCCTGTTTGTTTAACAAAGTGTTATGTGTAAACACTGTTTGTTTAATTCCCTGTGAAATCGTTTACTTGTAAAGACTGATAGCATTCTCTAATTTCCAAACCTCTTTGGATTATCAATTTCAACAACCAATTAGCTTCCTACATCTTCCTCTCCTTGCAAAGGCCACTGATCATTGTATTATATGTCAGCACATCAGGCTGCAAACCTTGATCCACCATCTCTTCGTGTATCCTATGTGCAATACTGGTATTCCCTGTTCTACACAATCCCTTAATCAAAGTCCCATATGTAATCACGTTAGGCCTAACCCCAAACACAGCCATTTTCTTCAGAAACTCCATAGCCTCCGCACCTGTCTTCTCTAAACACAAACCTTTAATAAAAGAACTAAAGGTCACAGCATCTGGGTTAAAACCCTGCCTTAAAATCCTCCCAAAAACAACAAAACCTCGACCCACATTACAAAAGCAATTAATCAAAATATTCAAAGTAAAAAGATCTGGCAACAACCCCATTGAATCCACTCGCTTGTAAAGCAAATTAACATCTTCATAAAACTTTTTCTTAGCCAGTGCTCCAAACAGCCGCTTGAATAATGAAATTGGTGGTTTGGGTTGCATATGAATCATGTATCCAAAGAAATATCATGCTTCATCAAGAGTGACATTACCTTCCTTACAATCGTTTTGGAGGAATTTCTCAAGCTGGGTTACTTTAAATACTAAATCTTGTGTAACAGTAGTAGTCACTTTACCTTGTTTTATGAATGAAGAAGGAGAAGAAGAAAAACGACGAATCAAGCTTCTGAGCACCATTTCAGTAGCGCCGTTTGTGGCTTATCTGGGGTTCAAAACGGGCTTAGTCTTTTAAGGCAGGGTTTGCTAAACATAGGGCTTGAGGGTTTTGGGTATCTTGTATTTTTCGGGGGAACTAGAATTATACAGTATAAGTTCTTGAAAAAAGAAATTGAAACCGAAACCGTACAGTATAGGTTTTTAAATTCAAGGAACTGGAACCTAAAATGCAGGTTCCGATTCATTTCCTGGGTACCCTATAAAAAATAATTACCCTTCTACTAGTTTAAAAAATGACAAAAATACTTTAAAAGTTTATAAATACACCCTTAACAAATTTCGATTACTCATTTATTTGTGTCCAATGTGGCTCATAAATCCTCAAATTTCTAGACAACACTTGAATTCAATCAATTCATCACATTTCACATAAAATTCCTCAATCAAAACTAAAATACAAACAATTAATTAAATAATTATACTATAAATATATAATTTAATATTACAATTAATTAAATTTCTAATCATTTAATTAAGTATTGTACTAATGTTTATAACGGAATATTATAATTAATTAAGTAATCATACTATAAATTTTTAATTATTTAATTAAATAATGTACTAATGTAATAAATTACTAATGTTTATAATGTAATGTTATAGGTTTATAATTAATTAAATAATCATTTAACTGTGTAATGTTATAATTAATTAAGTAATTGTAATATAATGTAATGTTATAATTAATTAAGTAATTGTTTAATTATAATGTAATGTTTTAATTAATTAAATTTCTAATCATTTAATTAAGTATTGTGGAAATTATTAATGTTTAGAATACAATGTTATAATTAATTAAGTAATCATTTAATTATGTAATGTTATAATTAATTACGTGATCAAACTATAATATAATGTTATAATGAATTAAATAATCATATTATAAATCTTTAATGTAATATTATAATTAATTAAATTTCTAATAATTTAATTAAGTATTGTACTAATGCTTATAATGAAATGTTATAATTAATTAATTAAGTAATCATTTGTTTATAATATAATGTTATAATTAATTACGTAATTATACTATAAATTTATAACGTAATGTTATAATTAATTAAATTTCTAATCATTTAATTAAGTGTTGTACTAATGTTTATAATGAAATGTTATAATGAATTAAGTAATCATATTATAAATCTTTAATGTAATATTATAATTAGTTAAATTTCTAATAATTTAATTAAGTGTTATACTAATGTTTATAATGAAATGTTATAATTAACTAAGTAATCATTTGTTTATAATGTAATGTTATAATGAATTAAGTAATCATATTATAAATCTTTAATGTAATATTATAATTAGTTAAATTTCTAATAATTTAATTAAGTGTTATACTAATGTTTATAATGAAATGTTATAATTAACTAAGTAATCATTTGTTTATAATGTAATGTTATAATTAATTAAATTTCTAATTATTTAATTAAGGAATGTACTAAATTATTAATAATGTTATAAACTTATAATTAATTAAGTAATCATTTAACTATAATATAAATATGTAATTATATACTTAGAACTTGATAATTGAAGTAAATACCTAAATATTATATTATTATTCAATCAAATATACTATTTTATTCAAATATAATTCTTTAATAATATTAAAACACTTTTAATTGGTCCTAATTTCAATTATATACTTAATTAATTAAAACTTTAATATTAATATATTATAATATATTAAAATTTTTTATATGGTGTAGTTTATATGTAGTAAGATAATTGTATATTTATTTAATTAAGTTATTGTAAAAATTTAACTTTTTCCATTAAAAATTTTTTTGTATGTAAAATTACATGGGCCCCCATTTTTCACAAATATTTCATTTCAGCCTAGATTCCAAAACAGGGTACCCATTGCAGGCTCCAAGCCGGGTACCCACTACATGTTCTTTTTTCTAGGTTCTGGTTCTAATTCTGGTTCCTCCACATGTAGGAACCGAAACCGAAACCGAAACCGCACAGTATCGATTCCAAAAAAATGAAACCGAAACCTACCTGCACAGTGTCGGTTCTGGGTAGGTTTCGATTCTACCCACTATACGTGCTCACCGCTAGCTAAACATTCATCTTTCCTTTTTATATACATTTTTATAATAATTAAAATTTAAAATGGGGCTTAATAGAGAATAGGTGGGGGCTATTTAGTATCACTCATCATTAATTTTTTTTTAAATTAATATCAATTACACCTTAATATTGAAATGAATGTAAAAATGCATATTGAATGGAAAATTTTAATATTTAATAACTAATTTATAAAAATGTGTATGAAAAATAATTAATTTGTTTTTTTTTTTTTTTTTTTGGGTGAATAGAGATGTCCAAGCTAGCATGCGTGTACCTCAACTAATTTCCCAGGACTCTAAAGTGAGTAGCTAAGTAAATCCCCTCAGTGACCACCCGATCACTCTTATTAGTGCTTAAGGGGACTCGAACTGTCACCCTTATTAGTGGTTAGGGGGACTTGAACTTAAGAACCTATGTTGAACTTCTTTGCTATTTTACTATCAAGTCACCCAGTGGTGGTTAATAATTAATTTGTTTTAAAGCATATTATGGTGTCATTTTTTTAGAGATGTTATCGTCCATACTAATCGAGGAATGCACCAAGTTTGTAAATATACATTGAAAGATACAATGACGGATTACTTTGTCCCTGTTAGGTATGGACCAAAGTAAACCTGAATACACTTAAATGTATTTGTTATCCACTGATATAAAAGTAAATGAATAATCTTGAATACAATTAAACGTTATTATTGTCCATTTGGGAGTTGTTCAAATTGCTCTTGACAAACATGATATATGGAAAATTGGTGTATGTCCAGTCATAATTAAATTTCTCATATCATTGGCTGTAATGTATAAGAAATTTAACATCATTTTTTTTTTTTTTTGGGTACCGGGTGTCTGGGCTAACTTGCGCGTATTTAATTAATC